TATTTTTAACATGGGCAAAGTGTACATTACCTCACTTTCCTCTCCTGGTTTGGGGTATTTATGATTTCCACTGCATTAGAGAACCTCTAAATTCTAAATAGATCGTGAAGTGCCTTATGTAATTTGCATGAGAAGCAGAGAGGTTTTCTGCCATGTGGCACTAGTTTCTCCGTGCAGGTTAGTACGTTTTTGCAAGCCACAGCCAGCCTCCTCTATAGATGTATTAAGTCCTTATTAGCCTACTAGCTAGTTTGGCTGCTTGGACAAACCAATCCCTGGTTGATCCAAAGCTTGTCTGTCAAATCTCTTCTCAAAACCTTTAGAGACATGAGGAAATGTGGCAAAAGACAACGTACTGTTGAATGCACAATTCAATGGCTGCGGATTAATAATCAGCTTTTAGGTTAGTTTCCAAAAGCCTCGCTTCGTGGAATGTAATTCAGCCTAACACTGAGTCATGTTCTCACTTTCTTACTGTTAGAAAAATATTACTCGTCACCGGCTTGTTCTTCTATATCAGGATACATGTATTTATTATCCTTGCAAGAATAGAAGTCACACACAGGGCTGCATGAGACAAATAGTTCCCCGAATAGTGTCCTTGACATGCTTATGTACAAGACAGGGTGTTACACAGTCACAAGATGCAGAATACCGGTTCAAAGCAGTATTTAATGTTTAGTTCAGATTAGCTAAGGCCCACGTAAGCAATAAACATGACAGTCATATGTCTATCTCCATAGAGGCTGAATCAACATGTTAATCGTTGTCACAAAGCTATCATATGCCTAACACACTGTGTCCTGACGCTCTTCTAGGTAATCATACATCCGGTTACGTACACAGCTACGTAGGGCCTTTGTTATCATGTGCTACTCTGATATTAGAAGAGTACATTCAGTATTTTCCCAACACTTACTAAAAGAGTTAGATGTAGCCTATACACTGCATTACTGCCTATTAAAGGGCATATGCTTATCTCTTGACAACAAACAACAAACAAACTAGCTTACGGTAGCTTTCCACAGGTATCAGAAAAAGAGCCTGGTTGATGGAGGTGGCAAAGAATGCAAAGCCAAAAGTTATGAACATTTTTCTTTCCACTAAGCTGGATATGTAAGTAACAAAACCTGCCGATTTATTAAAACTACCAGGGCTTTTATTTTGAGTGTTTAAAGCACTCAAATTGTGGTTTCTTGTTCATATTGCACGTCTTTTTGGCTGTTTCTTACTTTTGATTGTAGACAGGCTGCTAGCAGTGTGTTGCTGTCAGTATATAAACAAGTAAATGGACAGAAAATATGTTATCAACATCTCCATTGCACAGTTTGTTTGAAAACAAATGCAGTGTACTGTGTCCTGTGTTGGTGGCAACTCTGAGGAAATCAGAAAGCGACCTGTCAGCTGCACTAACAATAACGCTATTTGGAAACCCTAGAGGGGAAAGTTATCTGTTTGTGCTTTATTTGATGTGATGTCCTCTTAATGTATTTAGTTTTCCATTTTGTCTTTCCCTTCTGCAACGTCTTCCAGTTATAATTAATGTTTTTCTTACGTGTAGTCTGTGAGAGGATTATATCTAGTTCACTGCAACATCATTATAATCAAATAAATAATACAAATAAATGGATTTGGCATGAATTAAATTGGTCAATACATAGCACAGTAATGCCATGTCTCTTTGAATATGAGCTGGGACCCAAATTAAATATAGATGATCAGCCGCCTGTGTCCCTACAGTAATATGATTTCATGAGCCTCAGTCCCAGGGAAAGATGGATATATTGATTTTAATATCAGAATGGACAAGTTGCCAATCCCCTGCATTAATGTTATTTACAGGAAAGCAAATCTTGCTTCTGGATTTCCGTGTCCACATTACTGTCACATCAGATTGTATCCAGTCCTATAGAGCGTCTATTAGGCTGTGTCTTCTGCTAAGTGAATTATTCCTCCATAATGTGCATCCTGACGCTGTAATGGCTGCAGATGTTCCCAGGAAATGGCCTCAGAGGCCTTGCAAATTGCAGTCGATGACACTTTAAGGAGGAACTACATGGTAGAACAAGTTTTTTTATTAGCCTTGCAGCATGGCTCTGGATGGATTTTTGTGGTTTGGACCTGAACATCTTAAAAACTGCCGGGATAGCAATTACATTTTGTACAGATAGTCATGGTCCCCAGAGGATGAATCCTAATGACTTACTTCCCTCTAGAACCACTAACATCTCTGTGCTTTTATGAAATATCTCATTAATATTGGATGGGTTGCTATGGAATTTGGTAGACCACATGGTGATAACTTACTGGTGTTCTGGCTGTACCTCCAGTATCTTCACAATGCCTTCATCAATCTAGTATTTTGGTTTGAGACACAAAAAAACCCTCATACAGCCACAGCTGGGGTTTTTTCAGCGCCTAATAGGAAATGTTAACATGCTAGCACAATCTAAGACTGTAAACATGGCTAACCGTATGCCAGCTAAACATTAACATTTTGAGTATGTTAGCATTGTGTCTGAGTCGATACAATTGCTGTAGTCTCTGCTTCATGGTATATTTCAAGTATTTGTTCTCTATAAATTCACGCTTACCTCTATTTTCATTTGATTGCTTTGGCTCAGTACAAGGATGTCGAGGATGAATACCTCCAACACATCTCTAATGGTTTTACAGTACTTCATGTCTTGAAAGCCATTTTGGAAATAGCCCATTTCCACGGTCTGATGTGTGGTCTTTCTACAAAATAGCTCTCATATTAGACTCCCTTTAAACAGTCACAGCCTTGCTTCCTCAACCACCCTATTTGTTTGGGATAAATGTAAGACCTTGAGCCAGAAATTGAACCTGCCATCCATGAGTAAACTGCACTAGCTGTTGGCTGCCATTAGGCTTACTGAAGACATCTTTAAATGTAAATGAAACGCTATGTGAACATGATGTACTAATATATTTACTCTGGCAAGTGCAGGCACAGAGAAATGAAGACTCAGTTAACTAATCTCCACTTTATAGCCTGTTTTATAGTCACCTCAGCGCTGCAGTCTAATATGGTGTTGGTTTTGAAGAGTCTCTTTATGAGATTGTTTCAGTTCATTTCACGTCTGATTTTGAGTGGAAATTCTTACCAACACAGAAGAGTAAATCCAAAGAAAGCTGCAATAACTGTATAATAATGAAGGTGTAGCTACAATTCACCAGAAAAGTGAGTATTAGTGTGTTTAATGCACTGCCTTTCCTCCGTTACCAATTAAATACTCCAGGTGTGAAGATGCATAAACAGCAGCTCAAAGACAAACGTCTGTTCCCCTCTCAGAGCAGATCCTGCTGCAGTGCTTTCTGTTTCCTGCATGAGATGAGACTCCCAGTATGAATAATGTCTTCCCTTGTGGCTCCCTCTCCCTCTCTGAAATCTACTTTGTCTCAGCAGGCGGAGAGTAGAAGTGTAAATTGTTAGTATATTGCACATCATCCTTTTTGTAATAAAACCAATGAAAATGGGCTTATTTCCAACTAACACAACTTCTCAAGTGTATGTAATTTATTTCATTCACAACGTTTACTCATTCCTTTATGAAACGTGTTTTTCTTTTTGGAAACAAGTTTACTATTTATTTATTTCACTTTGACCGGCTTTGACTCAGTATGGTGACAAGCGGGGAGAACATGAAATAGTAGGAGAAAACAGCTGAAATGTGTCCAAACAGATGAAAAGCTGTGAAGGTTTTAGGAACAGTTTGATGCATTTTAAACCTCTGCCAGCTAGACATGCCATCTGCTCATTGGCATGAGAGAAAGCGTTCCTCTTCAGTGGATTGAAAGGTCAAGTTGACATCCCAGGTCCCTGCAGAGAGTGACTTCTCTACACTAGGGGTGTGTGTGTGTGTGTGTGTGTGTGTGTGTGTGTGTGTGTGTGTGTGTGTGTGTGTGTGTGTGTGTGTGTGTGTGTGTGTGTGTGTGTGTGTGTGTGTGTGTGTGTGTGTGTGTGTGTGTGTGTGTGTGTGTGTGTGTGTGTGTGTGTGTGTGTGTGTGTGTGTGTGTGTGTGTGTGTGTGTGTGTGTGTGTGTGTGTGTGTGTGTGTGTGTGTGTGTGTGTGTGTGTGTGTGTGTGAAATGCACATAACCATTCTTGCAGCCTGTACAAGGCTTTCTATCTATATGAGGCCCTTCTGTGAGAAAAAAAAGAAGTGTTAGGAAGTTGTATTCACAGTGTGACAAACTGATGGTGATCTGTGTTAATCTCCAGCTCATCCTTCTGACCTTTCAATCTCATGCTGGTTGGATTCTCCACGTTGTAGCACTAGTGAGAAAAATAATGCACTGCGGAAAAAGGATGATTGACTTTTTACATACATCTTCCTCCCTAAGCTCAACACAGAGTTTGATGTGGTTTCTTTAAGTATGCCTGGATTAATCTCACAGCTCAAATCTCTCACCAACAATAAGTGTGTTTTAGGGATTTCTTAGATTTCCTGCTGTTTTCCAAACTAGATCAAGGTATTAGAAGTGTTAAAGCTTTGCTGCAAAGACCTTGTTGAGTCCTAGTCTGTGATGAGCACAACAGGCAGTGTAGCCTTTAGAGAGGAGACTGCTGTCTTTATGCACCCGAGGCCAACAGAGAGGTATTAGACTGAATAGACTACAATGTATTTATTGTTGAAGGATTTTACATTCACATTTCTTTCTGAACATTTCAGAATTGTTTTGTTTGTGTTCTCTAAAAAAGCACTTTGGAGAAAATAAAGCACTACAATCATAGATGTAAGGCTATTTACAGGCTTCTATAATTAGATTCCCCAAACTTTGGAGTCCTCCTGTCGTCTGTTGAAACCTAAAAAAATCAATCACAAATCACAAACACTTTTTTTTATTATATTCTGTGTCTTCCTGTTCGTCATTCTCAGATCGCTTAAAGTGACTCAGTTACGAACGAAGCCTCTATGGAAACAATTCTTCTAATAATGCTGTGAACTGAAATGTATGTTTCTTCCTCTCCCACAGTCAACAAGCACAAGCCGTGGATAGAAACATCGTACCATGGCGTGATCACGGAGAACATGGACACGGTGCTGCTGGACCCCCCGCTGGTCGCTCTAGACAAGGATGCCCCGGTCCCATATGCTGGTAGGAAAAACCAAATCTCACAGAAAAATCCTCCGCTGTACAGTATCCACACACATTTAGAGGTTTAACACAACAGTACACACATCTTCACACTAGTACGTGATCTCTCACACACACACACTTTGGCACCGCACCGAGGATGCTTCAGTACAGTGTGCAGGAAACTGTGGCAACTTCACACCACACCACGAAAACAGATGATTCAACAGTTGTCTGTACTCACCGTTTGTCATGGAGACTGAATTCCATTTATCACCCTTAGCAGTGCGAAACAAATGCTTTTTCTTCCTTTTTTTCAAGAATACTTTCTCCATATTTTAATTCCTCAATGACTGCAAAACAGAGGGCATTTGTAGGAGGGTTAATGTCATTTTTTCACACGTTTTTGTTCCCGTAGTGGATCAGTACGGTATGTTTAATTGTGTTTATTGTAAACAGATATGATGAGCTGTTGGGAATCTACAGAGTTGCTGCACCACAAGTATATGTTAGCATTTTGGCGTTCTTAATAATAACAAACTCCATGAATCACAAACCCTTCAAACTTAAGCGCTGCCTTTTATATAAAGCTTGTGGCCAGGATTTGAAGTAGTTTTAAGTCCCACAGCAGCAGCTTTGATCCGGATGGAGGAATGATTCAAACTCACTGAGGTTTATGAAGATGCATTTATTTTCATTACCTTGTCAGGTCTGGAGTTTAGATACATCTTCTTCACTTCTCCTGACAGGGATCCATTCGCAGCGACTGCTAATTGAAGCCATGAGTCATCCTTTTTCTTGCCGCTGAATTGCCCCATTTAACCAGACAAACAGATTGTTCTCAAGAGTGGAAGAATTTATTCCTGAGCCTTGTCAGCGTCATGACAATGTTCATTTTCTAGCCTAAATCTTAATCTGACACTGTGGAGCTGTTTTACAAGCCTGTCTTATGTCATTTAACAGTTACAAAGCTGTTTTCAGTTAAAAACATGTACAGCACATGAGAGGCGAGACAACGTTTTGTAATAATATAACCCAGCCTGTGTATTTCAATGATGTAGCACTTCGTTTTGGTCCTAGCCACAGTAGCATTTATTCATTAATTAATGTTCTGACTTCATAAATGAGTCTCCTAAATGTTATAACCCTTTAGAAATGTATTATATTGCAATAAATAGAAGCATAAATAACATCAGCGGGCCTTGACAAGGGGACATAATCATAGCAGTATGAATGGTAATATTATATTTATAAATGGCCTGCATTCTCTGAATGTTTGGTTACTGAGAACTTATTCTACCTTTTTGAAAACAGCTTTACACAGCGTATATGGACAGTAACAGAAAATCTCTGAGATGGCCATGAAAAACACTCCACTTGTTTGTTCAAACTTGTTATTGCTTCTAATGTTTGAGATAAATATATAGCACATAATGGCTTCCATTAAACATTACATTACATTTACATTTAGCTGACGCTTTTATCCAAAGCGACTTACAATTACCAATTACAGGGACATTCTCCCTGGAGTAACTAAGGACTAAGTGCCTTACTCAAGAGCACACTAGTGGTGGTGTTCCTGGCGGGATTTGAACTCACAACCTTCCGATCTTCAGCCCACCTCACTATCCATTAGACCACCACTATCCCGTCGCAGTCGCTGGGAGCATAGTAGCGACAAAACAGGTACACTTTTATTCACAAACAGTATGATATCATTATTAACCTCATCCCCAGATAATTGTTTCTGGTGATGATTGTGTTGTCTAACAAGAGCTGGAATCTGACAGCCGTAACGCAGGTACAGCAGAGCTTACAGACACAGGAAGGGGAGAGATATTCTAATTGCACAAAGTATTCTGAGACTCAAAGGCAAACGAAGAGGCTTTTTTGGCAGCTAACGCTTAACAGCTCATTATGGCGAAATGGCTTCCATTAATCCCAGCGCTGACAACCATGAAAAACTGATACTCAGCTATTTTTCTCCCTCTGTTTTTCCTTTACTGTGTGTGTTTTTGTTCTAGTGACACAGTCATAAATTAGTGTTTTTTCAATGTTACGTGTGAGCTGTTCTGTAAATAATGGGTATATACAGCTGACCTTGAGGCGCTGGATACAGCTTGAATGCATGGTAAAGGCACTTCTGTTCTGCCTATACTTCCTGCTTTTAGCAACCCTATAATGTGCACATACTGTACAGTGTAACCCAACTGCTGAGGCATTATGTAGATGTACTGTTTATGAAGATTTAATGATCCTTGGGAGGGGTTCAGGAAGATTTAGTTATACATAACATAAACAAATCTACAGAATATATTATGCAAAAATAGAAACTTAATTCATGTTTTATTCAAATCATAAAAGGGGGAGATGGTGGAGATAAACCTCACCGACATTGTTCCTCTGTAATCAAGCAGTACCGACTTACAGTCATTTACAGTTCAGAGCTTTGCCTAGCAACATCGTCCGCTAGCCAGTGAAGGTTTAATGGCGCTGCAGCGAGCAGCCCGACAAAAGAGGAAATTCATTTTGATTGTATTTCTCCATGATTAACACTTGCTGTGTTGACTTGAGAAGGTCAAACCGGGTGAAATATGGCCTGAGAGGAAAAAAGGCAGCGCTGTGCCCTGGCTGCTGACTGGTGATATTTCTCTCTTTGTTTTTCATTGCATGCGGTTTAATGAATGAATCCCATACAATCGCAACCAAGGAGACTCTGGAAAAATGGCCATCAAAAGAGCAGCTCGGCCCCAATTTATCTCCCTTTGCAATTGTCTACTGCTGCAGCTCTCTCTGTGTTTTGCACAAACTCACACATACCTCTTCTTCTTGGAGTCCAACTATTCTCTCATATCTTTATCTCAATCGCTGCCTCTGTTTGTGTCTTTCTCTCGCCATAATGCCACATTCCTTCTTCCCCAGCACAACTATCTTTCCTCCTATCCTCTATCTGGACACATTGCTCCTAGCGAGCCCATACACAGGCAGTCACTTATGCATTACAGACACTCTCATCAATCCTGGTTTTGTTTTACTGCAGAAAGGAGTCCGTCCTTCTGGCTCCACATTAATTGCGCTATGGGAACATGGACCAGGATTGCCAAGTAGTTGCCTCTCTTGTTCTTTTTTCTGTCGTCATTCTTTATTTCCTTTGCCATCCACTGGCCTTCCATCACTAATTCCTCTCTGGATGTCCCCTCATCTTCACTTCTAACCCTCTCCCCCCTCACCTTTTTACCCATATATTCCTTTCCTTTTCCCTTCCTGTCGTTCTGTCTTGCCCTCTCCTGCGGTATCACATTTCACTTTGATGTAAACTACCCACAGTGGACCGAACTTTAACATTATACGCTGAGACAGGCGTCCTGGAGATAAATTGTTATTGCCCCATGCCATGATGCCGCCCTCTATTCTTCTCTATGCACCCCCCCATCTCCTCAACACCTCAACAAAGGTGTGTGAGTCCAGGAGTATGTGCTGATCGAGCGTTCTCAATCAAATTAGCATGAGGAATGGTGGCACTGGACTCTAGGGACCTGGGAGGCAGGCAGGCGGTTTCATTTGCTTATTCTTTATCTCCAGGCCGCAGTCAACAGCCACACATTCTCCCCATTCATCATGGCACCAGGGTAATGTGTTGTGGTACATTGTTTCCTCTGCAGAACTCAAACAGGGTAAAGGAACAAAAGTAGTTGAACAAATATAAAGGGAAAGGGAGAATGGATAGCTGAGAGAAAAAAGTGGCTGTGGACAATGGAAATAAGAGAGGGTCATCACAGGCGGCTGCCACGGAAACACACGTTTGATTATTCCCATTGATTTTTTACATTGTTGGCACAATGTGTTTGTGTAAAATATAGTTCTCAGTATTTTTTACAGCAAGTTCAATGTTTGTGTCTTTTATATTGTTGAACTTTTGTTTTGAGTGTGAGGCTTTGTTAATACACTGTGTGTCCTTTTAGCTCATCATTATTATATCAGCCATTTTATATCATGATAAGAACTAATGAATTATTTATGCTCAGTATCTGATCTGTGTATAAAGATAACAACATTTTCACACAGGCAGCCACAATACTGACGTGGGCTCAGACCTGTCCAGTACCCAATGATTACACACGTATGATGAAGAAAATACATTTGAAGCTAAACACGACAGGTTAGGCTGCAGCTATGAGACGTGAAAGCCATTTTGTGGCCATTGTAGACAGCTGTATCGATTCGAATTAAGCAGACACTTGTGAGATGGCTGAAATGCCACTGCTCTATACGTTCAACCTACATTTTGTCTGTGACTCCTCAACATTTTGGAATATATATCAATAAACTTCCTTTGTCTTCAGGATTTTTTTTACATTTGTTCAAAACACACATTCAAATAATCAATCTTTACCGTTTTGAGAGCGCTTTTGTGATGCAATAAATTCAAACCTTGTTCAAACAGACTTTACTTAGACTTAGAGAATGCAGCTTTCCCATAAACTAAAATGGGGTAAGTCGCTAGATGATCTGGTGAAAAAGTAAAACTGAACTCGATTCCTGCCACTACACAACGTAATGCCTGAATCTCAAATAAAAAGGATTTTCTACACACTCTAATTTCTGTGTCACAACCTAATCTGTGTTCGGTTAGAAAATATTGACATAAATATTATTGCTTCAGTGAATGTACTATGTCAAAGATGCCCACAGAAATGTACAAAATATTCCACATTTCATAGTTTTCAACTGTTCCATCTTGAAGTTACTTGGCTAAGAAAAACAACTAAAACTGACGTGATTTACATTCATGTCAGTGTCAGTCATCCCTTTATTTTGGAGCACAGTGTCAAAATCAATGTATTGCTTGTAGTATCAGTATGGAAAACATAGGACTTATTATCATAAGTTCAAAGCCAGTGGTGAGCAAGATTTTTGTAATGAAATGCATCATGTTTGAATGATGTGAGCCTGCATTATTCATAATACCCGAGTTGTTAATAAGTCAAAATGATGGATGGTTGAATAATTGTGAGTGAAAG